GATGGAGGGCCACCCTCCCCAGAGATGGCTGATACCCGTCCCCACTAGAGAATGCTTCCAGGGCTCCTGGCCCACCCAGGCGCAGTCCCTCTCATGGACAAGGCAGAAAACCAAAGTGTCCTTGGCCCAATCTCATCCTCTCTCAGGCTGGCCCCTTTTCCACATTGCTGCCCTGGCCAAGACAGCCCCATTGAGAAGAGTCCAGATGCCTTCATACACCAACACTACTATCTCTGGAGGGTTAGGGACACCCCCTTCTGTGACTGCCTAGACTCCATGGGCAAAATCCCTCTGGCTGCCTCTCCATGGTTGGGCCTGAAGCTCGGTGGCCCTGCAAGAGAGTGGGGACTCACCAGGACTGTCAGCACAGAGGTTCCCACGGTGACGTTCTCATACAAGCTGATGTTGTACAGTGGCTGGCTGAAGATGGGCCGGTTGTCATTCTCGTTGATGAGGGTAATCTTCACCTTGGCATAGCCCACATGGTCAGGCACACTCTCGTTGGCAAAGAGCTGTGTGTGTAGAGCAGGGCCTGGGTGAGCTCCTACATGCTACCTGAACCCTCATCTCCATAAGTCTGCCTAGGACAGGGCCTTTGCTGGTCCCAACCCAGAGCACCTGTGTGAGTCACTGCTCATCCCAAGTGTGTACTACTGTGAATCCCTGCATCATTGCTCATAGGACCAGGGTGGCCATTGGTTCTGCTAGGAGGGAGGGGCTGATGGGGGGTTGGGCTGGCAGGGGCTGGACAGTAGAGTTCCTGCTGGGTTTCTGAGGCTGTGACAGTGCCTGGTAGAACTCCACTCAATTCTTGGACATTTCCTTTTTCTTGTAATGGGAGGCTCGCCTCAGCCCCTGCTGTAGCTCAGCGGGCTTCTCTGAGTCAGATCCACAAGGAAAGGTGGGGAGAAGTGGAAGGGGGGTTTAATGGGATGGCGTGATCCCCTACCTCACCTGAAAGCCCACCACCCAGCCAAGGAGACAGTGAGTGAGGCCTTACGTCAAAGTCGTAGCGGTCCACGGTCTCATAGTCCAGAGGGATGGCCACCCGGATGCGAATGTCTGCCTTCCCTTGTACAGAGGTGGGGGAGATGATGAAGTGGTGGGAGTTGTTTCCCACCAGGTACACCTCGAACATGCTGTTCAAGCCCTGGGTCAAGAATGGAGGAGAAATCAGTCAGCAGGGGTGCAGGAGGCCAAGGACCTGAGTGCAGCTGGTGGGACAGAGCTGCTTTGGTATGGTAGGTAGGTGAGGTGCAGGGGCTGGAGCAGGGCTGTCTGACCTCTAACCCCCAGTGGCCCCAGCCTCCTGACCCTTCCCCTACCCATGTCTAGGCCCTCTAAAAATCTCCAGCTCTTTTTGCCTTCATCATCCCGTTGGATGCCTACAACATCCTTGCAGGTGGTTTGGTTCATCTCTTACTCCTTTACTGTCCTCGAGATCCCAAGTGGGAGGGATCTGCCAGCTATAAGACCCAGCAGGGAGATAGAAGAAAGAGATCAGAAGGGAGTAGAGGGGAGAGAAGGAAATGTCTATAATAAGTAGAGGGGAGAGAGAGAAATGTCTATGATAAGTAGAGGGGAGAGAAGGAAATGTCTATGTAAGCCTGGATAGGAGAGGGCACAAGGGACAGAGAAGGACACTGCTTCTCCCCATCCTCCCTCTGAATCAGGGAGAACGCTGTCTTGGAATGGGAATAATCCCACTGGCTGAGTGGCAAAGTAAATCTGTGTGGCCCCACACTGTGGCCAGCCCATTGTGGCCTGGAGGACACTGGATCCCAGACTGCCAGAGCTACCACACCCTTCACAGGTTCTGCTAAGGCTCAGCAGCTCAAGTCCATAGTTTCAGGTGATGGGGGTAGGGGTTGCTCACACTAGGTCAGGTGTTTCTGATCATCTTAACCAGGGTCAGGGCTTGCGGAGCCCTCAGATGCTGCCTGGCTCATCCTCACACAAAGTGTGTGTGATGTCTCCATGCTAGCTAAGTCCCCAGATTAGGAGGCGGAGCCACTGATGAATATGGGAGACACGGCAGGAGTCTGGCCTGCTCAGAAAGTGATTCAACCTCTTCAATTTCCTGCACAAAAGGGAGGATTACCCCCAAATAACACTCCAACCTAGACGGGTAACCTGTGGTTTGTAACCAACCAGTCAAGAGCCTCTCCTGAGCCCTATTGCAGATACCCCGTAGGTTACTGATCTGGGCTCTCAGTGGCCCCTGTTCGTCCTCCATTACCCACCCTTGGCCCAGTCCCCAACACAGCCCATCTATGCACGTTTCTGTGGAGCTGGGGGCTGGGAAGGGAAGTATGCCTCTCTTCTTGGTTGCCCAAGGATATTGAGGGGCTCCCTTCTAGAACCTGTTTCTGCTGAGAGGGGGACAGCTGAGCAACCCAGAAGCCTGGAAATGATGCTAAGGAGTTCAGCCAGGAATGACACCCTCAGCAAAGGAAGAGGTCACTAGATTCTTACACCCTGGAGCTATCCCATAGGCATTCAAATATATTTGTGGAATGAATGCATGTTAACATTTACCTCTCAGTCTCTTGAGTTTTTTTTTTTTTCCATTTACAACTACAAATTATCAAAACAAGGGCACTTCCTATATTGAGCCTTTTCTCAGGGCCTGGAAGTAAGCCCATGCCCTGTCACTGGTTCAGTGGGTTTGAATGGGGAGATGGGAGGGGAGCTCCCTTAGCCTTTCCTGCCAACCCTGGCATCCAGGCAAGCAGCAGGGCCTCCAGGGCCTCCAGAGCCCCCAGCCCAGAGCGGCTCCCACGGATTGTGCAGGCAATGCTCCTCTGGGCCTGTTGGGCTGTGCAGTTTCCAGTTCTCCCTGGCGTGGAATCCACCCGTCAGATGGAGAGGATCAATTAAATGCCCGAAGGGGCACTAATAGCCAAAGCTGGCGGAGTGTGACAGCTCTGAGCAGGTGACACTAACACCTCTCCCTCCCCTGGACCTGGGCCCCTCCACCACAGGACCTGGAGGCCTGAGAGGGTAGAGGCAAGCTGAGCTGTGCCCAGATGGAGCAACACCCGCTAAGAAGCCCCCTCCCTGCGGTGCCCACCATGCTGCCCCAGCCCTTCCCAGGCTCACTTACCAAGTTCTATCAGTGGGAGTCGGTCAGTCAAAGGATGTGGAGACAGAGAAGGAGCCGGAGAGGTATGGAGGGGAGGAAGGAACCAAAGAGAAGAGATGGTGAGATCCAAGGTCAGGGTAAGGGAGAGGGGCCAAGACGGACCCCAGGAGCACACCCTGCCCCAGAGGAACAGCCCCTTTGTCTCTGATGGGCCACAGCCTCTGGGGGTGCGAGGAGGGGTGTGTGTGTGCACACCAGGGGCTGGGGATGTCTGTGCAGCCCCATACCCAGAGGATGGGGAGGGACACAGAGGAAGAGGTACAAGGGCACGAAGTGGGAGGTGGGCCCAGGGCTCCTGTGTCCCTGAGCTCACTCAGTCTTCACCCAAGGGGGTGAGAAGGGGGTGGGAACCTGGGGGAGGAAGGGCCATGTTCCTGTGTTCTACTCCCAGGAGCCTAGACACAACCCCTGCAGGGAATGACCCCGAACATCGTCATGTTTTAATAGTCCTTATGTAGAAAATGTTAAAGACCTGATAACACAGACATAGAAAATATTCACATAATTCAAAAGTGTAAAAGGCACATGACCATCTTCCTTCCCCCGTTGCCCCAGCTGCTCAAGAGCCTTCCCCAGAGGCAAGTACCATTCCCCTCCTTGGGTCTCTCTCCCCAGGAAACCACACATACGTGAGCATTACGTACCCAAGCCTTCCCTTTTTGACACAAACAGAAGCACACTATGCACATTGCTCTAGGTCAGATTTTTCAAGTAAAGCTATGTCTTTAAGGGAGCCCCCTGAGGCCACAAACTATGTAAGCCTCAGGAGTGTAAACCTGTATGGGAGCAGGCACATAGTAGGTACTCAGGAATAAGGCTTCAGCAGCTTTTCCTCACCCATTACTCTGTGTCTCCTCTTCTCATGGAGCATAGTGTGGAGACAAAGGAATGCTGGAGCTTGGAAGTCCTTCCAGAGGAAATGGAATTCAGAGAGGTTGAATGAGCCACCCAAGGCTGCACAGGTGGCTGGTGGCAGAGCAAGGACAAGCTGCCAGGCTGGGGTGCCTTCCAGGCCAAAGGAGGTGGAGTCAGGGTCTGATGTGAGCATCCCCCAACTGCAGCTCCAGTGCACAATGAGTTACCAAAGAAAACTGGGATGATAACGCTTAGCACATTAGGGCCGAATCTAAGAGAACGCCAGCGGGTGAGCCCAAGCAGGGGAGGCTGCCTAGAGAAGGGCAGTTCTGAACTGAGTTAGAAATAAAGGAAAGGAAAATGGACTCGCAGAGAAAGGATACCAGGTGGAAGAAGTGGCTTTAAGTATGTTCTCAGTCCTTAGCTCAATCAGAATCACCTGGAGGCATTGTTAACTAGATTGCTGCCCTGCCCCAGGACTACTTGATTCAGTAAGTCTGGGTTGGGGCCTATGAATTTGGATTTCTAACAAGGTCCAGGTGATGATGCCTATGCGTGGCTAGTCTGAGACCACCATCTGAGAACCACTGGCCTAAGCAAAGGCATGAGCCAGGAATGAATAATTAACGATAAAGCAGACAATGGAGCCGATTTGCATGGGTCCATGTAGCGAAGCTGGCTAGATTGCTGGGACAGTGTGGGGCAGTGGGAGGCTCTGCGGGTCTCCTGAGTCCCACCAGGAGCACCATCTCGAGGGCTTTGGCATTTTTTCCATGAGCAATGGAGAGCCACTCCACTCTCTGGAGCACAGGAACGCTGAGGTCAAAAAGGGAAGGGGAAACCTGGCAGCCATGTGTGGGTCACGCCAGGACAGCCCTCCTCGTCTGGCTGCACATCAGAATTGCCAGAGGGACTCTAACATGAAACAGGTGCCCAGGGCCACTGTGTCAGAAGCTCTTGTGGGTAGGGCCCAGGCAGCTGCATTTTTTTTTTTCTACTTTACCTAGGGTACCATTTTGCACAGCCAAGGTTGGGAAGACATCAGACCCAAAGGGGTACAGAGAGGCCAGCAGGGGAGAGGCAGAATGGTAGCTTTCCACCCAGCCACATATCAAAATCGCCTGGGGCGTTTTTAAAATATTCCCATGCCTAGGCTGCATCCCAGACCAGGGAAATCAGACTTGTGGGTTGGGGGAGAGGCAAAGAGACCAGACATAAGAATTTCCTAAGGCTCTCCATGTTATTCTTTCTAATGTGCATCCAAGGATAAGAACTACTAGGACAGTGTGGTACAGGGACCAGTGGCATCACCTAGGAACTCATTAGAAATGCAAATTTTGGGGCCTCGCCCAGATCTACTGAATCAGAAACTGTAGGGGTGGGGCCCAGCACTGTTTTAACAAGCCCTCCCGGTGTTCCCCTGCACGCTGATGTTTGAGAATCATCAGGGGGGAGCAAGGCAAGGGAAGAAGCAAGTCTGAGAACGTGCAGAAAAATCAATCAGGGAGATACAGTGGATGAGCAGCAGCTAGAGAAAGAAAGCTGAGTTAAAACCTTGCTGGGCTGGAGGCTGGAGCTGTGACCACAGTGTACAGGCAGAGAGTGAGGGACAGAGGCAGTGACCGGGAAGGTGGTGCTGAGCTCAGTGTAGATTCAGCTTGTGTACCTGGCCAGGAAGGAGCACTGGGTTTCCTGCCCGCTGTGGCTTTCTGGCCCCTTCAGGCCAGGTCTCTGGGTCTCAATGGATGAGGTCTGCTTCCTTTTCCTTGATCGTCTGCTAGCAGCTGGAGTTCACTCAGGTCTGACAATGAAGTTGTCAGGACCCCTTCACATGACTGTCCTGAGACTCTAGGGCCACCTTTTGGCTAAGCCCCCTCGAATGCCCCTTTCAGAACCTGCCCAGAGGGCCAGTTCCTGCTGGGACTCGGCTTGTGATTGCCGGCCTTGCCGATGTGTGGGAGTGATATTCACGCAGTTCTCAGGATCCTCGTATAAAAGCTGCTTCCATTTATCGAGCTCCAACTCTGTGTTCACATACCTTAACCACAATCTTAACAACAGCCCAGTGACATTAGCAACGGGCCACCTCCTTTACGAAGAAGGCGACTGAGCCCAGAGAGTATCACGCGCACAGCTGCCACTGAAGGAGTTGACTTCTGTTCTGACTCCTGCAGTCTCGAAGCTCTTGATCACCCTGCTCTCCCGGCCTCGAGTGCCCCTCCCACTGCACAACGCTGCTCCAAATGCAGGCCCAGGGCCAGAGCACTGATGGACCCCTCCCCTCCCGACTCTCCAAAGGGCAGGAGCAAGGCCCACAGGGATAAGCCCTCTCCCAAGGTCAGGGAACAGAGGCCAAGGGCAGGGAAGCCGGAGCTGGCGGAGGGTGCAACCCCACTCCTCTCCGCTCTGGGCGGAGCCTCCTTATGTCCTTGCTCACTGCCAGGCCCCACAGGGGGCTGCTTGGTGGGGCTAGGAGGGAGGGAGGAGGGAGGGAGGCCGGGAGAGGCAGGAGGCGCTCTTGGAGCTGTTGAGGGGCAATTTTGTTGGGAAGGGAGATAAAGAGGAACATCAAAAGGAGTCCCAGGGTGTGTGGAGAGGAGCCTGGTGGATTAAATTCTGTTCCAGCTGGGAGAGGCGATGAGAAGGCTGATAGCGGCTGCCGCAGGTGCTGGAGACTAGCTGTAGCTCCGCGCTCCGCTCTGCGCTCACCGGGCTGGGGAGCCAGAGGCTGTCTGTGGGGCTGCAACGGTCGGCTTTATTTTTCAGGAGAGGAAAGGACACTTCTTGATCCCCCTGGTTTCCACCCCATGCAGCAAGCCGTGCTTTGTTCCAGGCGACTGAAGTCTTGCAGCCCCCCCGCGGAGGGCAGCACGACAGCCCCAGCGTTATCAGCTGCTGCCAGAAGGGGCTGCAGCCCCTCAACTCCCCCAAACCTTGTCCCCTGCTGCTAGAAGTGGAGGGGTGGCCTTGAGAGCGGTCAGAGCAGGCATTGCCTAGAAAGGACACTCCTCGTCTCTCTGCAGTGACCATCTCTGTGGCTCTGTGAACTGACCCAGTGTTGTTTTTCAACTATTTATTGAGAGTTTATTGTGTGCATCTGTTCTTTGAATGTTTACACCAACCCTGAGAGGACCCAGGGTGGGATTCACACAGGGCACTTTCCCTCCTCTTGTAGGTGCACATTCTGGTTGGCCCCCATGGTGGGCTTGCATGGGGGTGTCCTGGATTCTCTGAGCCTGGCCTGACTTCTGAATATGGCTTCTGTCATCACCCGCCAGCTCTGGACACCAGCACTTCCCTCTGCAGATGACCTGGTCACCCAAAGGGAGAAAGGCCTGGCCCATGCCCCAGACTCCTTCCTTGGACTCGAGGACTGCAGATGCATCCTTCCTTCGTCCCTCTAGCTCTTTCCTGGTCTCCCCACCTCAAGGTACCTCCACGCTGATGGTGGCACCAGTTTGCCTGGTAGAGATGCTCATCTCTCCCCAAATTCATTCTGGGTAGTAGCTGGGTTGGTGACTTAGTGGTGTGATGCAGTGGGAGAGTAGGGTTCAGGGTTGGGGAACAGGCATTGTTATTTCCTAGCTGTGTGACCTTGGGCAACTCACTTCTACTCTTGGAACCTCAGTTTCTTCATCTGTGAAGTGGGGAAAATGAGACTTACCCACAGGATTAAGAAGCAGTGTTGCCTCTTTGCCCACCATGTTTTGTTGGTGACACCTGAGTTATGTTTTCTTACCTAAGACAGGAGGCTCCCCAATGGCGGGAGCCTTGTGTGCCTTTTTCTTTTGTACCCCAAATGCTAGGGAGTCCTCAATTCACCCCGTGAACTACAGTGTGCTCTGGAGGGGACCTTAAATCCTTTCAACAAGAGGAAAGACCAGCGTCATGCAAATGCAGGGTGGACTAGGGAAGGGTGGCAAGGACCAAGACAGTCTGCAGAGTTATAAATCAAGACAGAGATGGGCCAGGGACCCTGTGAGGCACCCAGGGAGCTCTGTGGGCTGGTGGGACACCCTTATCCAAGGCTGGGGACCCGGAGTCCAGAGTTAGGTCCCTAGGGTCAGTGTCACGCTCACAGAAGACCTGTGCAGAACTCAAGCTTGCCAGGG